ACTGTCCTGCGCCTTAGGAGCGCGGGGCTTGGAGACGTCTCATCTCGACGCGTTAAGTCTCGCTGGTAGGTTAAAGCATGAGGCCACAGCCCTCAGGTTTCGGCCCTCGCTCTCTCACTACGCGTTTGCGTAGATTTGGATGCATCATTCAGCCTCCCTGGGCCTCAATTTACTTAACTGCAAAACCGCGAGACTGAATTAGAGGGTTTTTAAGATTCCTGCTCGCTTCTAACACTCAAAAATGTGATGATGTATTCAGCCTTTTTATACCTCTGCGTCGTGTTTTATTTCCCTTCAGTGATGTTAGAAAACACTCATGCTCGACTCCAAATTCTTTCCACGAGCATTTGCTAGAATTGAAACCACTGACCTCACTTAGAAAATAGGGATCCCTGGGTGGCGCAGCGGTTTGGCGCCTGCCTTTGGCCCAGGGCGTGATTCTGGAGACCCCGGATCGAATCCCACGTCGGGCTCCCGGTGCATGGAGCCTGCTTCTCCCTCTGCCTATGTCTCTGCTTCTCTCTCTCTCTCTCTCTCTCTGTGTGTGACTATCATAAAATAAATAAAAATTAAAAAAAAATTTAGAAAAAAGAAAATAGACTGGGAGCTCGGCTCTGTGTTCCGCAAAGTAACGTGGTTCTCGGAGCATCAATAAATAGGTGGTATGAGGACATCTGATGCAGGGACTGCGGGTCTTGACGGATACGGGGGCTCTGCTTTCCTTCTGGGCACATCACCGGACCACATCCTGCACTTAGCTGAAGCCATGCGTCTGTATGTCGACCAGGGGGATGGAACCCACCTTGGGGTACGTCCTCGGGGCGCCTGGGCGGCTCAGTTCATCGAGTGTCTGACTCTGGATTTCGGCTGGGGCCACGAGCTCAGAGTCGGGGGATGGAGCCCGAGCTCGGGCTTGTGCTCGGCCAGAGTCCACTAGTCCCTCTCCCTCCCCCTCTGGACCTCCCCCTCTGCCCCTCATCTCCCTCTGGCGGTGATAAATAAATAAAATCCAAATAAATAAATAAATAAAATCCAAATAAATAAATAAATAAATAATAAAATCTTAAAAGAATATAAAATAGATCAAGCCTATTAAATAAATAAATAAATAAAATAAATAAATAAAATCAATCTTGTAAGAAATAAATCAAGCCTATTAAATAATCAAACAAATACCTATGAAAACTTTCGTCATGCGTTCCTGGTCCTTCTTCCCCAACCACTGGCTAAATAGCATCTGGAAGGTAGCGAAGGAACACAGACCCGAGACCAAAGCAGTCTGTTCCTGAGCAACTGCACCGAGTAGGATGCTGTTGGACTTGTCACGTGAAAGGGGAAAACAATACATATTGTGTTAAGCCACCAATTTGGGGGCAAAGGCTTATCCTGCCCACATACCGTCCTTGTAGGTTTTTGCCCCAGTGAAACTGGGTTATTGTGAGCATCTGGTTCGACCTGGCAGGGAGGCTGGATCCCCGTCGGGCTGGAGGCCCTGCGCCTGCTAAGTCGTGGCCCGCCTCCCTGGGCTTGGCTTGGCCCAGCCTCCAGCCTCCAGCCCCAGCCGCCCCCGCTGCCCCCCACCCCCCACCCCGCACGGCCCTCCAGCTTCCTCACGCTCCCCGTCCAAACCTCGGGCTCCTGGATGCAGCCGAGCTCTTCTGCATTTGTGTTTTCCCTTGTTATTCTCTAGAACATCGCTTGCGAAACACGTTGGCTTTTCTAATCTGTCACATTATTGACAAATGTTTCACCCCCGTCTGAACGTCTGAACGGAAAGCTGTTTGAGAAAGCTGTCTCCTGGGGAGGCTCCCCTGCCGAGCGGCGGCTTCTGCCCCGGTTCCCGGAAGCCCTGGCGCCAGGTGCCGTGTCCCCTCGCCGGCGGGTCCCCTCTGTGTCCCTGAGATGCCGCCCATGACTCGGGTCACGTTCTTGCTCTGACCCTGCCCCGTGTCGCCTGCCCGGAAGGTCGTCGCCGGCAGGCAGCTGGACGGCGACGCTCACCCCGTTTGTCTCCCATCCCGTGAAGCACGGCCTTCGGGGGCCTGTCGCCCACTGCCTTCCACTTGCTCCGCGTGTTTTAGCCGGTTGGGGTCCGTTTCCACCGGGAGGGACATCGGGCCCCTGGCACCCCGCTCCTCCCCTGAGAGCAAAGTCTCAAACGCTTTCATGCATCATCTCATGTGAGCCGCAGAGGAGCCCTCACCAGGTGAATCTTAGCGTCCTTTTCCTTCTTGTTTTGTCAAAATAGTCTCAGAGAGGCCACAAAATTGGCCTAAAGTCAGACATTTACTAAAACCAACTGAAAACCATAGCGTAGGTCAAGAGTTGGGCCATAGGCGCGTGCGTTTTCGAAGACTGAAATCAGGCGTGAGATCGTTCACCTAGCGGATCTCACAAAGGCCAGAAAAAATCAAAATGTATGGAAGTACGCAGGCGGCAAGGTCGCCTCTCCCGGCAGCCGCCGCTGGACGCGGATCGAGGTCGGTCTCAGAAGAGCTGGGGCCACCAGCTCCGCACACCCGGAGGAAGGGACGACGAGGAGTCACAGCCAGAGGGACTGGACAAAGGATGCAGACTAAAGACCCTTATTTCAGGTACATATGGGACTTGCCATAATTTAAAAAAAAAAAAAAAGCATCCTCTAAGCCAGCAAGCCCAGGGCAAATGCCTTTGGTAATCACAGAACTTGAAAGAAGCGAACCACTGAAGCGTGGGCGGTGTCTTAGACCCTGTTCTCTTTCGCCAAATCGGAATGAGACAGAAGGAAAGTCTGGAAGGGCCAGGAGGGCCATCCAGTGAGACGGTCCCATGTACCCACCCTCACGGGCCTCACGGCGCGGACGCCCGCCTCCCGCGACCTCCCCGGTGGGCCGGGTGGTGACCACAGGGAATCCGAGTTTGGAGGCGCCTTGTTCCTATAAAGCCCCCTATAAAGGGGGCTCCAGACCCCCTTTCCTCTGTCTCCAACCAGAACAGATCAGCCCGGCCACGCTCCCTGCCACAGAGGAAGCCTCGACGCCAGGACAGCAGCGGCGGCTGCACCAGAAGCCGGGTCGGTTCTCATCCTGCACATCGACGCTAATTAATGTCCCCACAACCTGGAGGGTCAGCAAACCTCCCCTAAAACGGCAGCCACGTGACGCCGTGCGCGGTCACCCCGAGCATCACAGCGTCTCCTCGGCCGTCCAGGAGGGACCCTCGCCGTCTGCTCCGTGTGCTGCTTAGACGGGGGGACAGTGCTCTACCCGGCCGTCCAGGCTCCGCGGCCTGTGAGCCGCTTCTGTGGGGACAATGATCGCGGCCTGCCGGGGGGCAGGGGGACAAGGGCGGCAGTGGAACGGCGGAACTGACTGTTTAGGCATCTTTTTATTTTACTTCGCTTAAGTCGAAAAGCCGCACAGGTTCGCAGCTACTCTGCAGGACACCGACTCCAAGGCCAACAGCGCGTGTTGCGACCTGCGCCTCCTCCCGTTAAGAAGGGGTCGTGCCCCCGAGCGCTAGGTTGGGGAGACGCGTGAGATGATGGGGAACACGCTCCGTCCCACGCACTAGGTGACTCGGAAGGCTGCCGGCCTCACCCAGGACCCAGGGCAACAGAAGGGCTTGCGGCAGCGGAGGTGTAGACCCACCGCCCGCCCCGCGCCGGCTGTGCACGAAGGGAGCAGGGCAGGCGAGGACCTGGGCGGAGGATCAGGCGAGTCCCAGCAGGACAGCGGAACTTGGGGGGCAAGTCCTGCCTGTCGCAGCAGAGAAGGACGTCCTGGTTGAAAGTCAACGTCCAGCCTCCTCCCAGGACAAAAAAACCCGGGCTCGGGTCACAGACGGGCCGACCCAGAATGGGCGACTGTCATTACAATCCCACCCAGGGGACTGTCAGCGAGGAGAAGTGCTCCCGGGGCAAAGCCACTCACGGGGCCCTTGAGCTCCTACGAGGGCGACGTAGCCGGAGGCACCTCCTGAGATGCCTGGTCAGCGGCGGCGCGAACCAGGCTCCGGGTTGAGGGGCCCCCAACGGACGACGCTGCAAGACCCGGGACAAGCAGTCCCAGGGGAGACGGATGGAAACGGGCCTGGAAGGCGGCACGACGCGGGCAGAGCCCCGTGTCTCACCGTAAGGCCCGTTACCGCGCTCGCTGCAGAGGACGCGCTCCGCGACCGAGGGGCGACAACTTCCTATAGACGCCGCCGGCGGTGCCTTCCCTTAGCAACCTGCAGACTCTCGAGAGGCACCGACCCTCGGACGACCGCGTGCCAGGACGACACACGCTGCACGGACGCCCTCTCGCCAAGGCGCACATACCTGCGGCCTGGGTGAAGATGCCGTGTCCCGGAGGAGAGACCAACCCCGAGCCGCCACCGCAGCACCACTCCTGGGGCGGCCGGACCACGGGCCACGTGCACTGAGCCGCTCCTACGCCCCAAAGGGCAGGGATGTTGTGTCATGGAAACGGAAATCTCATTTTTTTTTGGTTTTTTTTGTTTTTGTTTTTGTTTTTTGGTGTTTTTTTTTTTTTTTTTTTTTTTTGGGAAGTCTCGTTTTGACGTCAGCTTGCCTTCCCTTGCGCCGCCTTCGGTGTCACCCATCGCCGGCTCACGGGACGTCGGTCAATCATTATCGTGTCCCAGACGCACTTCCCGGGAGCAAGGTCCCCACTGAGGCCAGAGAAGTGTTCCGACGGACGCACGGTCCCAGGAGCCAGTGGCCCAGCCATGTCCCCTCTGAGCACCGGAAGCTAACGGGACACTGGGAAGCTCCGTGCGGCTTCGGCGCCGCGTCAAGGCTGGGGACGGGGGTCTGTGCTAATTCGCGGCAGTCATACTGCGATGCTTTATACCGAACAGCGAGACCACATGGGGTCTGGGGAACCCAGCGTCTGAATCAAATGGGTTCTTTGGCCACATCTCTAAAACCAGAGAGTTTGTCCTTTTCATTTTTTTTGTTTAAAAATGTTTTTTATTTATTCATGATATAGAGAGAGAGACACACAGGAGGAGGGAGAAGCAGGCTCCATGCAGGGAGCCCGACGTGGGATTCGATCCCGGGTCTCCAGGATCGCGCCCTGGGCCAAAGGCAGGCGCCAAACCGCTGCGCCACCCAGGGATCCCCGAGTTTGTCCTTTTCAACCTTAGGTTCTACGAGTTTAGAGATCGCGGCTCCCGGGCGTCAGGTGGGGAGGGTGAGACGAGAGGGAGCCCCTATCACATGACGCACAAGGTTCCTGCTCACCCTGACGCTGTGGCCGGCCCACTCGCTCCGAGCTCTTCCTTATACCAGGAATCTGCAGGCTTGAGCCTCTTCAAGGGTAACTGACCCTCCTCGTCAGGAGAGGGCGTCCGGGGTCGCTGCTCGACGGGTCGGACGCAAACGGAAGTGTCAGGAAGCCAGGCGGTCAGCAAGGGTCTGTCGGACGTCGTCCGCCGAGCGAATAATCCACGGCAGCGCCTGTGGGACCCAGGAAATTTAACCAAAACCCCTCCCCCTGGCCAAGCAGAGCAGGACTGACTCCATCTTGTGCCGACCTGCTCAGGGCACTGCCCCACCCTAATCACCGGGGCGCACCCGAGTCGGAAATGGGCTCAGGGATAGGCCCGCTCAAACGGATACTGTAGGGTAAGATGTAACTCAATCGGCCACCTGCGAGGGTCCGGACCTGCATGACTGTGCAACTTCCTGTGTATCCCATGGGCCAGTGGCCCCTAGAAAGCTGCTGCGCCTCTTAGTCTCGGGGCCCAAGTCCCTGCTCCGCTGTGTCGGGTGCACTTGGACCCAAGCCCGAGCTTGTGAATAAACCCTCGTGTGTTTGCATCGGGGTCGGCTCCTCGGTGGTTTCTCGGATTCGCAGTCTTGGGCACATCAGCGCCCACACCAGGCAAGTATGGAGCCACACCTCGGAGGGAGGCGCCGGGCCCCCCCCCCCCCCCCGGCAGGCAAGCAAGCGAAGGTGACAGAGGCCGCGAGCAGCGAGCAGGCGGTGAAGAGGGAAGATGATGTCCGCGCACCCCGGAACCGACGGAAGCTGACAGCGTGCTGTTCTCCAAAAAAAGGAAAAAGGTTGGGCGGCGGGCGTGGGGGGGGGACGTCATGAGAGCACGCGGGTCGACGTGTCAGCGCCACCCACGTTCCTCTCACGGTGCCTTCAGGGCCTCCCGACCTCACGTGCCCCCGTCGGCGTCACTGCTGTGGCCCAGGAAGCGACGCGCCGACACACTCTGGCTGGACCCTGACTGACCCCTGTGAGTGCAACCTCGCGGCGCTTACCGCACGTCCACGATGCTCGTCGTGCCTCCTCCCCCAGGCGACGCTGAGCGGTGCGGCGCGGTGGGAGCCTCTCGGTGCCACATCTGCACAACCCAGAAGTGTACAAGAATTAACGTCCCTGGGAGCAAGCGTGTGGCCAACGAGGAACGGGAGCTGACGGACAAACCCTCCTCCTCTTCTCCCCTGGAGGGACGGCCTTGGGAAGCAACAGGTTTAGGGTCTCTCAGAAAGTCCCATGGGGGGGGGGGACCCCTGGGTGGCCCAGCGGTTTGGCACCTGCCTTCAGCCCAGGGCGTGACCCCGGGGTCCCGGGATCGAGTCCTGCGTCAGGCTCCCTGCATGGAGCCTGCTTCTCCCTCTGCCTGTGTCTCTCATGAATAATAAATAAAATCTTTAAAAAAAAAAGAAAGAAAGAAAGAAAGTCCCATGGGGTCAGGTAACAGATGCCCCAATACCACGCCAGGGGGACCAGCCGCCCTTGCCCCCTTTTAACCATTCTGCCCCCATGGTCCCCATCTCCATCTCCCCCTTCCTCAGCCCTGCCGTCTAGGACTAGAAGAGCCCAGGCCAAGGGAGAATGGAATTACTGGCAGTTTCTGGGGTGGGCAGATAGACAGACAGACATCAGGCACATACATGGAAGGAACAGGCCGTGTTTCCACATCCTGCGAAGAACAGCACCACACGCGTCCGCTGAGCACTCCGGGGAGCCAGCCTCTAGGCCCTGACGCGCTGGCAGCTCTCACTGGTCGACCTTCAGGCCTCCCCGACCCCGTTCCCCCGACGGCAGCCCCGGCGGGCCCGCAGGCCTCTGGAGGAGGAGGAGGAGGAGGAGGAGGAGGCCGGGAAACAAACAGGGCCTGAGCGCTGTGCCGCGCGTACTCCGGTGTTGGCTGAGCCGCTCTTCACGGGACCCAAGGAGGATTCTCTGGGTCTCAGAGACGAAGGAATACGGGTTCAGACCCAACAGCATCCGACTGTCGAGTGGCTGGAAGTCAGACACATAATTTTTTTCACTGATGCAATTTCTCCAAACTGGATTCCGTCGTTGAGAACCAGGCTGTGCTGCTTTTGTTGTTTTTTAAGAAGCCTCCACGCGGTGCGGCCCAACGTGCGGCCTGAACTACCGGTCCTGAGATCAAGACCTGAGCCGAAATCAAGGGGTGGACGCTTAACCTACGGAGCCACCCGGGCGCCCCGGGGTGCTGTCTAGATGCTGCCGGTCTGTGACCTGATTCGACTCCGAGAAAAGGCAGGTTGGTGTCTGGGGAGCAAAAATAACTCCTGTGAACTATGTCGGCAAAGGCAGAAGTTAAGCTCTGTTCTATATAAGAGGAAGATCACAGAGAACAGGGAGCGTCAGAGTCCGGGACCGTGTGTCCGGGTCGGCCTCCGCCAACCGTGCGCCGCGGAGCAGCCTGGACGTGCAGCTGTTTGGGGCCCTCGGCTCCCGCTGCGATCCTCCGGCCGGCGGCGCCCACCCACGAAGCCCCGCGGGCCGCGGCCCGAGCAACGTGGAGCAGCCGGAGCTGCACCTGCTGCGACCCGGGAGCGTCTGCATCACGGGGTCCGGCGGCGCCAAAGGGAGTGGCGCCCCCCCCCCTCCCCCCGCATCGTGGGTCACAGAGTGGTCGCGGCCCGATTTCCTGCCAAACAGCAGTGAGAGTTGCTGGGAGATCAAGGGAATCCTGAAAAAAAGAAAAAAATACCCCAAAATGCGAGACAGCACTATGCTCTGTAGTCGAGGCTGACGGATAGTGACTGGCGTCGCACGAGTCTTTACACCTTTCAAGTCTCGTCACTAAAAAATACCAGGAACACGAGAAAAGTGTGAGAAGTGTTGTTCCGAGAGGCGCCCTCCCGTGCGCAGGCTTGCCCCCCGCACCCCCGGGCAAGATGGGACACCCTGCTTGTTGCAGCAACGTCTTGGGTTCAAAGAGCGCTCTTCCCCACCGGCCCGGCTGGAGGGCAGAGAAGAGCAGCGAGACGGAGATGCGCGCTCGTGGAGCCCTCCCGCGGGCTCCGCAGCACCCCCTCGACACGGGCACCCAAGCCGCCCCGAAACCCTAAGGGGACAGGACATCACGCACCGAGGATGTGTTTGGGACCGGGGAGAGCTGAAGACGAAATTCGCTGAGCCCACGCGGGACCAGGGTAAGCGTGGGCTGGGCCGTGACCCTCACGTGCACCCCGCGGCCCGGTGGAGGGGGGCTGCAAAGGGGATGAAATACAAAAAACAAAATTAAAAAAAAAAAAAGGAAATACAGCCCTAACGTCTTCGGTCGCTTGCCGAGTCACGAGGCCTTGACTCCCGCGGCCGTCGTTGGGCAGACGGTACTCAGTGCCTGATACACGCCACACACTAGGAATAAAAGATGGAAGAACGGACGCGTCTGTCCCCTTGTGGATCGTGCGTCCCGGTGACTGGGGCCAGATGACAACGGAACATGAAACGGACCCTGGCGACCACGTCAGAAGAAACCGGGGTGGGGGCTGGGAGGCGGGTGCTGATCAGAAGAAGCCGGTCCGGGAGGCGCTGAGCAGAGCCGAGGGACACGGAGCCGGCCTGGGCCCGGGCACAAGCGGAGACGATCTCGGGCAGAGGAAACCACCAAGTGCAAAGGCCCTGAGGCAGGAGCGTGCGGCTTGTGTCCCAGGAACGTCAGAGCGACGCTGATCGGCCCTGCACGGACAGGAACCCGCCTGGGCCAGCGGGAAGTCGCCGTGTGTCCCCAGCGCTGGAGGGCTCCCGGAGCCTCTGGCACCCACCGCCCCCCGAATCCTCCACACGGGCTTACGAGAAGGGAAGGCCCCACGGGAACCATTTTCTCCTTTTTACCGATAAGGAAAGGGAAGCTCAGGTGATCATCACTGCCCCGGAAACCGCTCGAATGCGGGGCCTCCGCCACACTCACGGGAACGTAGGCCTCCCGGTTTCCAAACATGACGCTGCTTGGTCCCAACAGGTGCCACTTTCTGAACACCGTGGACCCGAACATTCACCGTCCACAGATGCCGATGACATGCATGCATTGCCCCATTTTACAAATGAGGAAACACCCAGAGAGTTTGAATAATTCAATCATACTTCAATAAAGCTGAAATTCAAGGATAATAAAGTTCCTATATTGGCTCCCCCCCCCAAAAAAAAGGTCAAATAAATTGCCGTGTGCACCTGGAAGAGATGCAGCTGTCCCGGGGTGCCGAGGGGCGCATGGAGCGGGCTCAGCTCAGGCCCGAGGCCCCGTGGCCCCGCCTGGATTCCCCACGACGACCACAGGTCCCGGTTCCCCGGGTCCCTGGGGGCAGGTCCCGGGCCGGCCAGCTCTGCCCCTCTACCCCCCGGGATTCAGGTGTGAACCAATCTGCGAAGGGCGTCGAGCTTCTGTCCGCCGCCTGCGGGGCCTGACGGCTGCACACTGGCTTCACCCCGTGGCCTGCGGTCCCTGCAAGGGGACGCCGCGGCCTTCGTCACCCTGCGGCCCGGCTGGTCCCCCTCCCCCGGGCCGGTGACAGGGCACTGTGGCTCCTTCTCCCGGGCCTCCCCGCCGACCCAGGGCCCCCCTCCTTCCCTTTACTTGCAGCGCTGGGTCCTTAGCATCCAGGCCACCGCGCACGTGTCGCCCACCTGCGGCCGTCCTGGGGCCCGTCGGCAATAGGCCCCCACCTCTCTGCTCCTAATGAGAGCCTCAAATAACTGTCGGAAGATGCCTCTAAATGCCAAGATGTGGCTGCCAGCACCCAGGCCTGGCGGGCAGGACCTAAGGGGGAGTCTGGGGGCTCACTTGGCAGCTGGTCAAGGAAAACCCCAACTTAGGGTACAGAATGCAGCTGCTCTGCGAGCAAGACACGAAAACGCAGACCAGCTGGCAGTGAGCATCGGGTAGCTAGGGACACTGCTGTAGCTTTGCCGAGTGCCCTGTGGCTCCGGGCAACAAAACCCCTTAAAAATGAAAGTATTCAAAAAAAATTGTTTTGAAATGAAAGTGTTCGTCTCGAATTCCCTTCGGATACTGTGGATCCAGAAGCAAAATCCGCACCCAACACCTTCCGTCCTGAATGAAGGACGAGGGACCCAGGAAAGCAAGGACCTAGTGGCAACGGCCAAGGACAAGAGGAGGGCGGCGGGGGTGAGGGGGGGACCTGCCCGGGGAGCCGGGCCCAGGGGAGACCCCCGAGTCTGAGGACAGAGGCCTGCAGTCGCCCCACCCCGCGCTCCGCCAAGGGGTTCCTGGGATTCCGGCCTCCACCAAGTGTATTTAATTCTCTCCAGGTGCTGGTCATAAAGGGCTGGGTGCCTGGCCTGAGCAGCGGAACTTTCTTCCGGGTGCTGCGGGGACCCCTGAGGAATTTCAGAGAGGAGGGCCCGACGGGGGGGGGGTCTCCTGGGGACAGACCCCAGCAGGAGGGCCCAGCAGGTGTTGCTGTGGGTTGCACCCTTTGGGCTGTACCTGCTGGGCCACACCTGCTGGGCCACATGGGCTGGGCCGCACCTGCTGGGCCTCGAGAAAGGTCACCTAGTGGGGGGGGAGGGCCGAGCCCACCTGCTCAGCCGCGACCACCTCAGCCCGTGACCCCCGGCCCCCACCCCGTCCCCCAGGGAAGGGCCGCTGCAGAGGTCACCACGGGGACGAACCCGGGTAGTGCGCCGACACTCGGGGCGGCAGGTGCTCCCCGCTATGGGCTTCACCTCGGGCACCCCCGTTATGGAGACCCTCCCTCGGGGCCACAGCACCTCCCCCGGGGGTGACAGCCCCTCCCAGAGGGGGACCAGCCCCTCCCCCAAGGGGACACAGAAGCCCGCCCCCCGCCCCGCACAGTCGCCCCAGAGCAGGGGCCTCACCCGCCAGCCCGCCCCCTGCTGCTGTCTCCGTGGAGGAATTCGCGGCCGTGGGCCCGAGCTCTGAGGGGGGAGCAGGGGATCCTGCGGCGGCGGGGCGGGGGTGTGACCTGGGGCGGAGGGGCCGCGGGGGGGAGCCGGGGGGGGGGGGTGCACAGGCCCGACTTCCGCCCGGGGAGCCCGCTAGGCCGGCAGGGGAGGCGGCCGCCGTCCAGGAGCACAAAGGTCGGGGGTCGAGGCCGGGGCGGGCTCCTGTCCGCAAACCTGGTACGGGGGGGGGGCCCCGGAGCGCACGGGCAGCGGGCAGCGGGCGGGGGGCGGGGCGCCCCGAGCTGTGTGCAGGCCCGCGCCCCGCCCCGCTCCCCGCCCCGTCCCGGTCCCCCGCCCCGCTCCCCTCCCCGTCCCGCTCTCCGTCCCGGTCCCCGCCCCGTCCCGCTCCCCGCCCCGCTCCCCGCCCCGTCCCGGTCCCCGCCCCGCCCCGCTCCCCTCCCCGTCCCGCTCTCCGTCCCGGTCCCCGCCCCGTCCCGCTCCCCGCCCCGCTCCCCGCCCCGTCCCGGTCCCCGCCCCGCTCCCCTCCCCGTCCCGCTCCCCGTCCCGGTCCCCGCCCCGCTCCCCTCCCCGCTCCCCGCCCCGCTCCCCGCCCCGTTCCGGTCCCGGCCCCGCTCCCCGCCCCGTCCTACTCCCCGTCCCCCTCCCCGTCCCCCTCCCCGCTCCCCTCCCCGTCCCGCTCCCCGTCCCCCTCCCCGCTCCCCGTCCCGCTCCCCTCCCCGCTCCCCGTCCCGCTCCCCGCCCCGCTCCCCGCCCCGTTCCGGTCCCGGTCCCGCTCCCCGCCCCGTCCCGCTCCCCGTCCCCCTCCCCGCTCCCCTCCCCGCTCCTCTCCCGCTCCTCTCCCGTCCCGCTCCGCTCCCCGCTCCCTCCCCGTTCCGCTCCCCGTCCCCCTCCCCGCTCCTCTCCCCGCTCCTCTCCCCGTCCCGCTCCGCTCCCCGCTCCCTCCCCGTTCCGCTCCCCGTCCCCCTCCCCGCTCCCCGTCCCGCTCCCCTCCCCGTCCCGCTCCGCTCCCCGCTCCCCTCCCGGTCCCGCTCCCCGCCCCTCTCCCCGTCCGGCGGGCCCCGGGCAGCCCAGTCACCCGCAGCGGGGCGGCCGCGGATTAGTTGGAGGGGGAGGCTGTGAATTCCAGAGAGTTCTTTCTCTCCGCCTCGCAGCCGGTGGCCGCGGGTGTCGCTACATGAAAGCTTCCCTGTCACTACGGATCATCGCTGCCTGGGCTGCCGCATTCCGCGGCCCCGCGCCCCGGCCCGTGACCCCGCCGCCCCCCGCCCTGCCCCGCTCTGCCCCCCTCCGCGAGACGCAGCCAGGCCCCGGCCGGCGGGCGGAGCGGGAGGGGGGTAGAGGGGGTTGGGGGGCTGGGACGGTGCTGGGAGGGGGTGGCAGGGGGTAGGGGGTGGTGAGAGGGATGGCAGGGGGGCGGGAGGGATAGTAGGGGTGGGGGGCTGGGACGGTGCTAGGAGAGTGCTGGGAGGGGGTGGCAGGGGGGTAGGAGGGGGGCGGGAGGGGGTGGGGGGCTGGGGAGGTGCTGGGAGGGTGTGACCCGCTTAGGCCTGGCAGGAAACCCGCGGACCAATGCGTTGGCCGAGGGGGCGGCAGCCGGGGGAGCCCTCAGGCCTCCCCACGACTCTGAAGCTGGACCGACGTCCCCTTCCCCCCACTGCAGGCCGCCCGCACTCCCTCCCCCCTGCCCGCACCCCTAGCCCCCACTCTGAGGCCGGGCCTCCCACCCCCCACCCCTGCAGGCCGCCCGCACCCCCTGGCCCCCCTGCCCGCACCCGCAGGGCCCCCAGGCCTCCCCGGGGCTCTGCAGCCCGGCCGACGCCCCCTCCCCCTCCCCCCTGCAGGCCGCCCGCACCCCTTGCCCTCCCCCCCACCCCCTGCCCGCAGGCCCCACCGCCCAGCCCCTCCGTGGCCGCGGGCCCTGAGCCGGGGAGGCCAGCGTCAACCGTGCCCCAAGGCAGCGACTGCGGGGAGCAGCCCCCCCCCCCCCCCCCCCCGCAAGCCTTCCCGCCCTTTGAGGGCAGCTGCCCCCCCCCGCCCCCGCCCCGTCTGGCGCCCTCCGCTCCCCCCCCCGTCCCATCCCTGGGGGTGGGGGTAGATTCTGTGCAGAGTTTCCCTCCCCCCCCAGGAAGGCGAGCCCCAGACGGAGACGGGGAGGGGGACGGGGCGGGGGCACCTGCCGGGCCTGGGCGCCGGGTCAGGCCCCAGGGAAGCCGCGGAGCCCCTGCGCCGCCGCCCCCCGGACGCGTTGGCCTCCCCCGGCTCCCCCAGGACTGTGCAGGGATTAAACCCGGAGAGATTAGAAAGCGCTTGGTGATTTGTAAAGCGCTCGGCAGAAGGTATTAGGATTATTCAATTATCTCACTGGGCTCGGCCTGGAGTGTGTTAATGATCCCCGCTCTGTGGCTCCCTGCCCCAGCCCGGGGAGGCCTGTGAGTGTGCCCCAGGGAGGCCTGTGAGTGTGCCCCGGGGAGGCCTGTGAGTGTGCCCTGGAGGGACCAACGTTACAGAAAAAAGAAAAGGGTAGGCCAAGACATAGACGGAAAAGCCCAAACAACAAGTGAGATCGTTATTTTTGAAAATAAAGAGTGATGGCCCTCGGGGATTTCTTTTTTTTTTTTAATTTTTTTTTATTTATTTATGATAGTCACAGAGAGAGAGAGAGAGGCAGAGACACAGGCAGAGGGAGAAGCAGGCTCCATGCACCGGGAGCCCGACGTGGGATTCGATCCCGGGTCTCCAGGATCGCGCCCTGGGCCAAAGGCAGGCGCCAAACCGCTGCGCCACCCAGGGATCCCCCTCGGCGATTTCAAGTTGCACGTGCCCACGATGTGACGCGCCCGCTCTGGGCACTGTTCTAGGCCACCAGTGGGTTTTCTGGGGCTTCCCTGACGGGGCGACGGGCACCTGTGTAAGGTGCGCCGGTTGTTGTGTCTTGGGGCCCCATTTCCCCGTCTCTGAAATACTAAGTAGGAACGAGCTGCTTTAGGGCCCTCTTAGCCCCCTTCTGTCTCGGGGCGCGGGTGCCTCGCCGGGCATCCTACCCCACTCAGCAACAGTTGGGGCTCCAAGGTCATTTCATACTTGAGAGAATATCAAAGAGCCTCGCTAATCCTCATCCTGGGATCAAGGACTAAGTGAGCAAACAATCCAAAATCATGCCAGCCACTTAGGGACTCTTAATTCTACTTAATCATAATAAGAATTTTTCAACATTTGGAGGCCGCTCTGGGGAGAAGCATGACATAATGCCTCGAACACTCAGAGCTGTGCCATTGGCACGGAATCAGCACAATTAGCAGCTTTCTCCCCCCACATGCTCTCCTGGGAGAGCGCCCGCCGCCCTGGGGAGCGCCCCGGCCCCACACCTGCGGGCCCAAGCCCTGGGGTCAGGGTCCCAACCTGGGCCCCACCCTGAACTCGCCTGAGCTCCGGCTCGGGCCCAGTGGCACCAGCCACCCGGCCGCCCGGACGGTCATGCTCAGGCCTCTCCAGCGCTGGCCACCGCCGGGCGTCCTCAGCGGGGCGTCGAGGTTCAAGGCCCCGGCCGGATCGTCGTCGAGGCCCCGGGCTGTTACTCTGATGGATCGTTTTAATTCTTTCCACTTTGATCACGTCAGTTTCCACAACAAACACGGCTGCCAGGCATTCCTGGCTCACAAAGGCGAGAGCACTTGGCTGCGCACCGCAGCGAGCCAAGCCGAGGCCAGAGCTCTCTGCCTTCGCTGCTGTTTTAACCCTTTGGTCACACAAGTGATCGAATGCAGAAGTAGAGACCGAGCAACCGTCCGCGCCTCCCACCTTCCTTCCCGGGCCACAGGCGCTGGGCTCCTCCGGAGAAGTGCAGTGATTTGCAGCCTTTAATTAATTAAGGATCCAAGTGGCAGATGCAGTTCACACACAGTGGAGCCAAGTCCTGGCTAAGAAGATTCTTTTGCTCCAAATGCTCTGCAGTTCACGGAGAATAACTAACTTCGGCTAATAAAAATAGCTCCGTCTCCTGAGGTGCCAGGAGCCGTCTTAAATCGTTTAAAATATTATCTCATTTAATATTGGCAAAATATTAAGGTGAAAGAGGGATTATGTCAACTTCATAAGTGAGGAAACCTTGCAGTCAGAGGCTAAGCTTTCTGCCCCAGATTACAGGGGGTTTCGCCTGCATTTGTCTGGCTGCGGGCACAGGCCCCAAGGCCAAAGCGCTCAACCGTAGACTTTCCCACTCCTGCTGCTGTGGGACAGGAGGGAGCACTCTGGATGGGGGGGGGTGAGGGGGGTAAAGAGACCAGGGCCTCGCACCGGGGGCCCCCTCCAGCCAAGCCCATTTCCTCTATGCCTTGATTTCACTCCCTGTAATTCGAAGATCGAATTAAATCAGTTCTTTTTTCCAAACCTCAGTCACTCGCGTTAATACTCACACCGCTCGTGTCGTTATTTAGTGTCTATTCTTCCCTAAATCCGTGTACTTTTACAAAAGCAAATATTTTTAA